GTCGCGGCTGACGAGGGAAGGCGGGGGCATCTGCGCGATCACGAGCGTGCCGCGGACCTCGAGTACCTCGGACAGCAAGGATTTCGTCTGCAGGGAAGGTCGGGGCCATCTCCAGGTCATGAGCCAGTCGAGCGCGCTCCGCATCGTCGAGAGTCGACGAAAGTTTGCTGTTCAGAACGAGCTGGCGGAAGCGAGTGGAAGTGGCCGCTGTCGGCACCAGGAGCTTGTGCAGCGCCTGTGGAGCAAACCGAGCCTCGAATACTGGACCCAGTCCTGTCGGACGCAAGGACCACAGCTGCACCTTCTCCGTCTCGTCGACGTCTCGAACTGCCCGATCCAATCCGTGGGCCCCGCCCGTGGAAAGGGCCACGGCGTTCTGAGGCTCCAGCAAGGACATCACGTTCACGGACAGCTTCTCGTCGCTTTCGGCGTCGAACCTGGCGCAGTGTGCAGCGGCGGGAAACGTCTCCACTGTGGCCAGCACTGCGTGAACCTTGCGAAGGGATGCTCGAGCTCGAGCTAGAAGACGGCATTGCGATTGCTGTTTTGCACACCCACTGGCTGTCTGGGATGGTGTTGTTCAAGCAGCCCGACCCGAGCGCCGCGAGGACTGTAGAGTAGCAGGACCAGTGGACCTCGTGCACGAGCGCTGGCAAGAGCAGCCTGGGGCGGACCAGGACTTGAAAAGGGCTTCGCTTGGGGCGGACCAGGACTTGAGTGTGAAGGAGCCTGGGGCGGACCAGGTCTTGAATACTGAAGTGCATGACGCGGACCGGGACTTGAATAAGAACTGCATGGAGCGGACCAGGACTTGGATGTGAAGGACTGATCGGATCGCTGCTGTCGAGACCTGTCTAAAGGAAGCCTACCCCGCTTAGGGAGTCGATGTGTCGCCATCTTGGCCTTGAGCCAACATGGCTACGGATGATGATGATGCTGATGCTGATGCTGATGATGATGATGATGATGGTGGCGGTGATGATGATGATGATGATGATGATGATGATGATGATGATGATGATGATGATGATGATGATGGTGATGATGATGATGATGATGATGATGATGATGATGATGATGATGATGATGATGATGATGATGATACTGCTGATCATGATGAAGATGGTGTTGCTGCTGATGATGACGATGGTGGTGGTGGTGGTACTGCTGCTGCTGCTGATGATGATCATGATCATGATGACGATGATGATCATCATAATATTCATCCTGACCACCATCATCACCACCATCATCATCATCGTCATCATCATCATCAGCCTCATCAGAGGGCTCGAGGATATCGACATCCACCAGGAGCTTGTGCTCAACGTGTCGCGGCGGCCCTGGCGACACGACATCCCCTGCGAGCTGGTAGCGTGTCGCTCCGCTCCGCTGGGCGGGAAGAATTGGGGACGTTGACGCTGGTGGCGCCGCGGGACTGGCACGTGGACAACGTGTCGCGCCAAAGCGTGGTGGGCCAGAGCCGGCGGAGCGACACGCGGCCCAAAAGTTCCCGACCGTAGATGGGGTCGAGGATCGCGCCGCATCGTCGATGCGTCACCGATGCATCGGCGATGCATCAGCGATGCATCTGCGACGTCGGCGAAAGGAGGCTCTGTCTCACATCGGCGATGCGGAGCGGTCCTTCGACCCCGGCTGCTTAGACCCCACCTGGGCAGCCTAGAAAAATGTATACGGCCAGATCCAACATTATTCGCGCGCGGCGAACGTATCCATATTCGCGCCCTCGCGGTCTGGAGTCGGCGGCGTGATCTCGCACGGGTGCGTTCCGCACGGTGCATCCGCATCCACGGGGTCGCGGCCCAAGGGCCCGGCCCGCGAGGCCGAGGACACGGATACGTTTTCCGACAGCCGCTTATAGCGCGCATGAGCTGCAGCGATTGGAGAGAGACCACCACATGTACTCGAATCAGATCTCCTCCTTCTCCTCCTGCAGTGGCGGTGGGGCCGAGGCTTGGAAGCATCCGCAGACCAAAACTAGTCCTGGCCAAGCCAGCCTCTTCGCCCTGGGCGCCAAACCAGTCCCGTCCGTGCGCCACATCGTACGGTCGGCCAAGGAACTGGGTGTATAGACGCCCCAGCACCAGCTTCCCAACCTGCGGGATGCTGGAGCGTCCACACATCGAATTCCTTCGCCGAGCTCGTGGGCTCCGTGGTCGACCAGACGACCTGGCGTACACATAGAGCCCCTCCTCCTCCTCCTCCTCCTCCTCCTCCTCCTCCTCCTCCTCCTCCTCCTCCTCCTCATTGTCATCATCATCATCATCATCATCATCATCATCATCATCATCATCATCATCATCATCATCATCATCATCATCATCATCATCATCATCATCATCCTATTCGGCGCGAGGGGCATAGGATTTTGTTTCCGACCGACCCACTCGCACAAACTGACTGCCGACAGATCCAGGGCCACAAAATCTTCCCGCGGCCAGGGGGGGCAGGGGGCCTTGGAAATCGTTCTGGAACCGACGTTCACGGGGGAGAGAACCACAGGCAGCACATTCCGATGTTGTGCCTCCCGTTTGCACTCGTTCTCTTCCTGATCCAGGGGTTGCCGCAGCGGCTGCCGAATATGGCGGCCGAATATGGCTGCCGAATATGCTGTGATATCGGCAGGCGATGTTTGTTGGCACCTCCAGCAGATACTTGGCAGGATTGTGCTGACGAGCTTTTCGGGCTCCCCTCAGGCGCGGCAACAGAGGACCGATGCACCGTCTCTGTGGGCAATAAACAAGAGGGGAGTTTTTTGGATCGTTATGAGAAACGTATCATAAAGAAGAGCAAGCTCAAAGTGAAAGAGGGCAACGTCAAGCACACCATAGTGTTCCAATCAGCGAAGCGACTTCCAACGAAGATTGGCACATTGGCGGACAGAGTATATGACATTATGATTACCGACCAGGGCGCGGAGGATGGCATTTCTTTGAAGGAACTGCACACCCGAATGCGCTCTCGCGATGCAAGGCAGGATATTGGTTTCGCTTTTCAGATGTGGGTGTCTATAGACGTTGTATATAGCAGGCGATCCAAGTACTATTCAAGATGTTGTGGCTGAACGCTTCTTCCTTGTTGCCTCCCTCCCCCTTTCCTCTGCTCGTAGACGGTGACGGGAGCGCCCCCCTGCACCCTAGGAACCGAAAAGAAAGAAAATGATGAAGCGGGGTGGGGGCACGCGTTTGGCGTGACGAGCTTGTGATCACTGGCACGCATCATGATCGTGCGTGCTGCTCCGAAGAGAGAAGGCATAACAACATATAACAACATACTGCAGTTGTTTTGTATGTGCACGTGCATGATGTGTACTCCAGATTTCGTAATAAAGGGAGGGGGGTCTCATTTCGGGGGGGGGGGTCTTCCAGGCTATCTTGGAGGGCCTGGCGGGTCTGGGGACGATGTTTTGGAGGGTTCTCCCACGGGGGAGGTCTGAAATGGCTTGTATTGGAGGGTCCAGACCCCCTCCCTTTTATTACGAAATCTGGAGTAGTAAGCAGCGCTGCAATCGAGTGCACTCCTGTTCGGTTCATAATCACCAGGCCCTTTTGGGAGGGAGTCTCGCGAGGACCCGACATCGCCAGACTCCCGACCCCCGACTGTCCACATTAAAGGCGCTGTGGCGCTCTCGCCGAGGCGCCAACTACATGTTCATTGAAAATGAGGCTCACGCTCGAGCGGTTTGGGGGACCGCCAAAGCCGGCCCCCCAACAACAACAACGCTCCCGCTCGAGACTTCCTCCTTTTTCACTCACGGGCTGGTGTTCTTGCTCGCCGCCGAAAGCCGCCGTCCTACCAAAACCAGCGCTCCCGCTCGAGACTTCCTCCCGTTGTACCTTGGACTGGCGCGCCAGTCTTTCTCTCATCGGCGCCGCCCCGAGAGCGTGCCGCCCTCCGCCAACGGGCCATCCTGTCAGGCCCGCCTCGGTTGGGGAATGGGGGAGGTGGGCGGCGGGGGGGGGGGAGGCCGAGAGCCCACGGGGTCGTCCTGGCAGGCCGCGGGATCGTGTTTAGCTCGATTCTCGGCCCTGCATCCATGATCACCCCCAGGGAGATCGTACAGTTCCTAGCCGCCGCAGCTGCTGCTGCTGTGGAGCACCTCCCGTGACGCCTTCACCTTTGCCTTCACTTTGACGACCTCCTCCTCCTTCTCCTCCATTCTGTCTCAGAGCTCGGCCTTGATGGGGTTCCCCCTCTTGACCCTGCCCCGTGCTCGGTGCCAGGAGCCGACCTCGTTCGGATTATCCTACCGCGCCTCGGCTGAAGAGCTGGGGAAGCGGACACCTGATAGGAGGCAGCGCGCACCCAACGACCCCGACGAACCAGGGGATGAGCTCGAGAGTAGAGGCCTCCTGGATGGGGTCCGAGTAGATGGGGTGCGAGTAGATGCGGTCCCGATCCTCCGACCCCATCTACTCGGACCCCGTCTAGGAGGCCTAGGCTGATTGTGTACGCGAATGGGATGGTCCCCTTCCATCGGGGGCGCGCAAACATGGATTAGCGATCCATGGATTTAGCGCGCGGTCGCCAAATCCATGGATCGGGGGAGGTGCCCACCCCAAAATGCGGCTGGTGCCGCCTCACTCGGCGGCGGAGATCCGCGATTCCCCACGGAAACGCGACCCGTCGCGAATCCGCGCCCCCTTGGTCCATGTTTGCCATCGCCTGACTCCGGCTGGTGCTGCACTCCTTCCTCTCTCGTCCTCCTGCCCCTCCCAGACATCCGACGTCTCGATTCTTTCGGGACACGGGCCCCCGAGCTCCCGACCACTTCCCCAGGGCCGGTTTTTCGTCCCGGGTCGTTTTTTGACGGTCCCGAGGCCCGGCGAGGGCCCCGAGAGGCCGAAACCCACGAACAACCTCCGCCCCGATTTTTTCGAGACGCCCGGTCTCTGGGCCTGCGCCGGCCGGAGCGGTGGCCGCCCCCCGCGCCAGGTCTCCGCACCGCCGCGCCGAGCCCGCGGGCCTGCCGGCGCCGCTCACGGCCGCTCGCGCAGGGCCCGCTCGAGGCAGGCCGCGAGCCTCTGCTCCAGGCTCCGGCTCTGCCTGGCGGCCACGCGTCGCGGCAACAGAATCAGTGAAGGGGCCCTGGGACACGCAAATAAAGACACACACGAATAACAGGATTCCCCATACTTTTCCTACATTTTCTGGGTGTTCGTCTTCCCCCCCACCTCCCATGTTTTCCATATTTTCCTGGGAGTCGACGATTAATTGTGTCTGTGTGTTTTTCCCCCTCCTGAATCAGGACGGGTGTTACTTGTGTCTGTGGACGGGCGGCTTTTCGCCCTTTTTGAAGGAAACGAATTCTATACACCGACGCTTTTTCCGACCCTGCGCTGAAGTTCGCACAGGAGCGCGGACTCTGGTGTATGCGGGATCCTGGTGTATGCATTTTTCGTCGTTCTCCCGGGACATCGGGGGAAAAAGGGTACACCACACCACCCCAGCGATGTCCCCGACCCTCGAAAAGTCCTAGGATTCAGAAATCAGCAAAATGTATACGTTCCAATTTCCGAGTTTTCGGCCTCTCGGGGCCCTCACTGGGCCCCAGGACCATCCAAAAACAATGTCAGCCACGCGTCGCGGCAAAAATCAGGACGGGCGTTTTTTCTCACTTTTCGGCCTCTCGGGGCCCTCAGTGGGCCCCAGGACAATCAAAAAACGACTCAGGATGAAGAACCGGTCCCAGGAAGGGGTCTGGACTTCGGGAGACCGAGTATCGAAACAATCAGGACGTCGAATGAGATGTCCTGACTGTTCAATAATCGGCCACTCGCAGAGGGGGGTACTGGGAGGGGGAAGGCTTCTTAGAATGACCCCTGCGTCTTAGAAGGCGCGGGCCTCGTCTATAGATGTAGGGCCAGCGCATTCTAAGAAGCAGGCTACTTCTAAAAAGCCGTCCCCCCTCCCCCTACCCCCTTTTGCGCGCCGCCAAGCCTGATCAGGTCCTCCAGCGTAACGGTGTTGGAGCCGCGGCACTTGACCATCTGGGTCACCAAGTGGTCGGCGGACACTTCCTCGTAGTGCGGCCAGCTGTCCAGCATCGTCTCGACAAAGAAGCCCAGGTCGACTCCCGACTCGGTGAGAAGCTCCATGAGGTCGGGGCGGTTGGCCAGTGCTTTGAACTCTTCCCTCGAGATTCGATTGTTCATGTTTTCATCCATCATGACACAAACTGTTCGCATCAGCTGGTTTTTCCCGTCGTTCCCCTTGTTCTGCGCATTCACGTCCTGGACAAGGCTCAGGATCACGCCAGTCAACATCCTCATGATCGTCAGGTTCGCGACCAAGATGAAGAGCAACCAGATGAGCCAACACATCCATCCGGCGTCGAGCATCTGGATGATGAAGTTCTTGTCGATGCTGCAGAGGGCCGTGAGGAAGAGGAAGTGCACAGACGTCAACACGGTGCCGAATGACGACTGAAACGGTGCTGTGCCCCCCAGCAGCTGGGTGAAAAGAATCCGCCACCGCGCCTGCGGCGGTTGGTGTGCGTCGGGCCCTTTCGTCCTCTGCGGAGCAACGGCCAGGGCCCCCCGCCGCATCGAGCCCGAGCTGCGCCCGGTGTTTTGTCGCCTGGTCCCTGCGGTTTTGGCCTTCCAAGCACACGCATGGTCCACATGCAAAGCTTGCGGGAGAGGGGGTGTCCGTGGACCCTCCCCCCTCCCCCCTCCCGTACATGGACATTCTATTCGAACCCTGTGGCCCAAGATGCCCCCCGGACCCCCCGAAATGGATATGGATGGCGTGACGACGGCGGGGGGGCGTGAGTGGCCCGAAATATGCGAATCCCCCCAAGGCGACCCCCCCCCCCTCGCGCCCACCCGAGCGCGGTGCCGGAATCGCGCGCGGCAGCGCAGCATGATAGCGAACACGTAGATCACTCCGATCAGGAGCAGGAGACTCGTGGCGACGGCCTTCACGCCTTTGATCAGGGCTGGACCTAAACGTTGTTTTTCGTTTTGTTTTCGTTATGGTTTCGTTTTGCTCTACCTGTTGTCCTGTACATCCATGCCAAAACGAAAAACAAAACATAGCCGAAGTCCAGCAAAACAGCGTTTAGGTCCAGCCCTGCCTTTGATCATGCCCTCCATGAATGTGAGCAGCACCGGCATGGACCGCGACGCGCGAAGCACGCGAAGCACACGCACTATGCGCAGCACTCGCAGGGAAAGCGAGCTCTTGAGGACGCCGCCCATGCCCGCCCTCCGCTGGAAGATGAGGAATACGAGGACTTGCACCCAAGTCTCCCACACACTAACAATGACCAAGAAGGCGTCCAGCAGAAATGGTCCAGTTCTCATCGCCCTTGCTCTGTGCTTCAGGGCAAAGAACCTCAGCATGAACTCGACGGTGAAGTAGGTGCAGAATATATTGTCCACTACCTGGAATACCAAGGGAGCCTGGCATAATATGTCCTCCTTGTTGTAGTCTGCCTCAACCCCAAGCCAGATACTGTTTAATACGATCATGATGAACATCACCGACTCGAACCTTGGATGCTTTACAAGCCTAGCGGACAGGCCGTGGTCCTTGTAATCGCGCGCTTCGCAAAAATGCGGGTCCGCCTTCTGCTTCACGATCCCGATGGCCTTACACTCATTAAGCCGATTCTGCGTCAAGTATGCACGGCTCTTGAAGTCGTCCGTCTTCACACCCTGCAACAGCGGCGTCGACTGTGTCGGATCCTCTATGGAGCACTGTGTAGGGTCCATGGATGCGAGTGGCGTGCCCTTGAACTCACAAAGTGCTTCCGCTGGAGGAGCAACAACTTCTGGATTCCCAGGGTCCCGAGCCGACAGATCGTCGAGAGCCAGCGCGAGCTGCTCGTTGAGGGCCAGCACCTGCCGTGCAGCGAGGGCCTGTTGCCTGATCAGCTCCGCGAGCCCAACGGCAGCAGGCGGTTGAGACCGTCCCTCATCGAATCGGAACGCACCCGCAGGCGAGGACAACTGGTGCATCTCGCGGGAGTCAGCAAGCGCCACCGCCCCGTACTCGCAGTGGAGCGCTGAGAATTCTGGAAACCGCTCCAAACGGTCTTGAGCCAACAACATGTGCGGACCTGTCTGGGGCCCCTGGACCATCCAGACGCCCGCAGGCCCTCGCCACTCGGGCCTGTGCACACGCCCCACGCCCCCCGGTCCAAGCGCCCCACAGCCCCTCTGTTGCACCGCTACTGGGACCTTCTGCAAAAAATCAAATTGCGCGCCGCATGGCGTGTCTCCAGGCCCGTCTAGAAGGGGCCAAAGACCCCCTGTGCCCTTCCAGACCCCTTCAATGATTCTGGGGCGTTTCGCACAGAGCCCCAAGGCCCGCTCCGACGCCCCAAGGCCCCCAGTATGGCGCGCCCTTGGGCATCTCCAGGCTCCTCGAGGTCCCCAAAGTCCGCGCTCCCGTCCCGTTCCACACGCTCCGAACGGCTCTGGGGAATGCGTTGGAGCAATACCTCAGGCCTCAAGAGGTCGTCTGCACGAGAAGCTTCAAGAGAGGTCCCAAGATCAAGAGAGGCCTCAGACTGCCGAAATCATCAACGCACTTTTTTGTACGTTTGTTGTGTTAGTTTCCGAACCCGCACCCTGTGGAGATTGGCTGTCGCTTTGCCTCCGCCGCGCCGCGCGACGCCACTGATGCGGTGCCTGCCGCATGCTGCTGCTGCTGCTGCTGCCGCTGCTCTTGTCGCTGCCCATGCTGCCCGTGTGCTAGCGTTGACACGCCCCCAGCACGCTTCGTGCCGCATACGGAGCCACGCCTGCAATCCCAGAGAGCGCGCCCGCATGTAATCGACGTGCCCGTGTCGGCACACCAACTCAAGCCGAGTGGGCTTGCCCGCGCGCAGCTGGCGCGCCCGATTCGGCACCCCAGCTGCGAACGTTCGACGATAGCGGGCGCGCCAGCAGGGCGTCGGCACACTCTCGTCGGCACACCCCTCACACGCGTCGCATCCAACAGCGAACCCCAACTGCACAGCCCCAGTGGTCACACCCAGAGAACATCGGCACGCTCATGTCGGTTCGCCCTGGAGTTGTGCCACGCAGGGAAACCCAACTACAGCCCTTGTGGGCGCACCCGGCACGCCCATGTCGTCACAACCCTCACACGTCCCGTGCCGCATGGGCAACCGCAGCTGCAGACCAACTGGACGTGCCAGCTTGGCGTGGGTGCGTTGGTGCCGTCACCTCCCTCACACTTCTCGTGCCCCACAAGGAGCCTCAACTACAGCCTCCGTGGGCGTGCCCGCATGACGTCGGCGCGCCCAAAATTGGCACACCCCTCGCACGTCTGAGACTCTAGACCAGGACCACACAACGGCACCCGCATGGCTTCGGCGCGCGCACAACGCACGCGCATCTTCATGTCGTCACCTTGCAATTTTCAGCGTACCCTCAAACGTTTCGTGCCCAATACGGGGGCCGCAGAGGCGCCCGCCTGGCGTCGGCCAAGAGGGCACCAAGACGGCCCCAAGAGAGCCTCAAGGCGGCCCCAGAGGCCCTCAAAGAGGGCCCTCGAGAGGGCATGAGGAGGCCAACATTATTGGTGTTCCTTGGGTTTGGGGGCTCTCTTGGGGCCGTCTTCGTCTTGGGGCTCTCTTGGGCTGCTTTGGGGTCCTCTTGGGCTGTTTTGGGGCCCTCGTGGGCCGTCTTGGAGCCCTCTTGGACCGTTTTCGGGTCCTTGGGGGGGCATCGTCGGCCGTCGGGGGACGATCTTTGGAGTCTCTTGGGCCAGTTTGGGCCTTCTTGAGGTGAAAATGCGAGAACACCAAAAAAACTAGCAAAAGCCATCGACAACGCAATGTCTTGTGCACCGTTGGGCCCTCTTGGGGCGCCGCTTGGGGGCCTCTTGGGTCCCTCGTGGGTCCCTCTTGGGCTATCTTTGGGGCGATCTTGGGGGCCTCTTGGGCCGTCATGGGCCGTCGGAAACCCGAGAAGGCGAGAACCCCAACAACTCTCAAAAACCTAAGGGACATCCATGCTGCTTGCCTCCTGGGTATCCCGTTGGGGCCCTGTTGGGCTTTCTTGGGGCCCTCTTGGGCCGCCCTGGGGCCCTTTTGGGCCATCTTGGTGTGTGTGTGTGTGTGAGTGTGAGTGTGAGTGTGAGTGTGAGTGTGAGTGTGAGTGTGAGTGTGTGTGTGTGGTGTGTGTGGTGTGTGTGTGTGTGAGTGTGAGTGTGAGTGTGAGTGTGTGTGTGTGTGTGTGTGTGTGTGGTGTGTGTGTGTGTGTATGTGTGTGTGTGTGTGTGTGTGTGTGTGTGTGTGTGTGTGTGTGTGTGTGTGTGTGTGTGTGTGTGTGTGTGTGTGTGTGTGTGTGTGTGTGTGTGTGTGTGTGTGTGTGTGTGTGTGTGTGTGTGTGTGTGTGTGTGTGTGTGTGTGTGTGTCTTCGGGGCGCGCGCGCACGCTCGCCGACGCCGGCGCCGTCGTGCCGCCGTCGGCGCGGCAGCCCGTCGCGGCCGCCAGCAGGTGGACCTGGCGCCGCCCGACAAAAAGGCGGACGTGCTCGCGGCCGTCTTGGGGCCGTCTTGGAGGCGTTCGGCCGTCTTGGAGCGTTCCTTGGGGGCCTTCGGGAGCCCCATTGGGAGCCTCGTGGGGCCCACTTCGCGCTCTCTTGGGGAGCCTGCAGGGCCGCCCTGGGGCCCTTTGGGGCCGTCTTGGGGTGTCTTGGAGGCGTTCGGCCGTCTTGGAGCGTTCCTTGGGGGCCTTCGGGAGCCCCATTGGGAGCCTCATGGGGCCCACGTCGCGCCCTCTTGGGGAGCCTCTAGGGCGCCTGCAGGGGCCCCCTTCAGGCGCACTGGGGCCCTCGTGGGAGCCCCTTGGGCAATGACAAGATCTCGGGGGCCTCTCGAGCCGTCCTGGACCGTCGCAAGCCCGAAAAGGCGAGAACCCCAAAACCATACAAAAAACGACCGCATGCAAATCAATAGGTTTGACCTCCTCAAGGTCCTTGAGGGGGCCCTTTTGGGCAGTCTGGGGGCCCTCTTGGGCCAGTTGGGGATCGCTTGGGCCGTCTTGGGGCGTCTTGGAGGCCTTTTGGCCGCCTTGGGGCTCTCTTGGGGGCCTCTTCGGGCCCTCTTGGGACCATATTAACGCTATCTTCGGGCTCTCTTGGGGCAGTCTTCGGGCCCTCGTGGACAGTTTTGGGGCCCTCTTGGGCCGTCTTGGGGCCCCTGGGGCCGTCTTGGGACGATCCTTGCGGCCTCTTGGGCCGTCGTGGGCCGTTCTTGGGCCGAAAAGGCGGGAATCGAAAACACATAGGATCACCGACGGAACATCAAGATTTTTACCTCCTGAGGCCATCTTGGGGGTCCTCTTGGGGGGCCTCTTGGACCTTCTTGGGGCCTCTTGGGCCGTCTTGAGGCCATCTGAAGCCATCTTGGAATACTCTTAGGCGGTCTGGGCTTTCTTGGGGTGCGTTGGGCCGTCTTGGATCCCTCTTGGACCCCTCTTGGGCCGTCTTGGACGCTTCTTGGGACGTGTTGGGCGCCTCTTGGGCCATCTTGGGGGGGGCCTGGCTCCACGAGGCCCAAGTCCCTGCCTTCCTTCAAATGTTTGTGTCATTGTTGCGTTCTCGCCATTTCGGGCTTCCGACGCTCCAAGGCGAGCCCATAGGCCCCCAAGATCGCCCCAAGAAGGGCCCCCCAAGAGGCCCAGAAGACAGTCCAAGATGGCCCCAAGACGGCCCAAGAAGCCCCCAAGACGGCTGCAGCGACCTCCAAGACGGCGAGGGACCCACGACTACTTAGAGAGGGCCCCAAGCCGGCCTCCAACGGCCAAGAGGTCCCATTGAGGCCCCAAGAGGCCCCCAAGAGGCCCCCAAGAGGTCCCCAAGAGGTCCCCAAGAGGTCCCAAGAGGCCCCAGGATGCCCCCAAGAGGCCCCCGAGAGCCTCCAGAAGGCTCCCAGGAAGACTTCTGGATGCCCCAAGAGGTCCTCACAAGACCTCCTCTGTTTCTTCCTCCTCCCTCTCCTCCTCCTCTTCCTCCTCCTCCTCCTCCTCCTCCTCCTCCTCATCATCATCATAATCATCATCATCATCATCATCATCATCATCATCATCATCATCATCATCATCAGCATCATCTGTTCTGTTCTGTTCTGTTCGTGACGGTCTCAAGACACCTAAATGCCAGCCGTTTGCCTCAGTTGTAGAAGTAGGGCGGCAACTTCTCGTGACGCTTCGTCCAATGCGATAGCCTCTGCTCCGAAAGCCGTGCAAGGTAACTGGATGAACGTGCCGTGCACAACGACAGGCTCGTAACGATAATGGTGGCCACCAGCAGGCTTTCCCCACAGACCGATAATCCAGGCAGCCGCGGCACAGTCACCGTCACGTAGGCCCCCGTCCGTCTGGATCACCACGTTGGCTTCCTGCATGGACATATGGTGCGCGTATCTTTTCGTCCACGTTCGCCGGGTATCCATTGGTATGTTGGCCAAGCCATCCGCTACTTTGTTGTAGCTCCGCCTCCACCATTGAACTGGGTCCTGGTTGATGCATGGAGGAAGCCACCCTCGGCCCATGTGATCAACGATCCGGCACAGTACCCGTGCGAGTAATGGTTCATACCCCTCTTCCCGCAATTTTGCGTGACCACGTACTACTTCCTGTAATGTTTTGGAGTCCGTCGCATACAGTATGTGCATCTTCTCGGAAGCCCAATCCACATGAACAGCAACGGTGTCTTCAAGCTCGTCGGGCTCCGGTTCCAAATTTCTGAAGATCAACCTGTCGTCCTCGGCCCCGCGGTCTGCGTGCAATCCCGCGGCTGAAGGCCCGCCTCGGTCACCATCGTCGCAAGGCGGGAGATGCCAGCGTGCGCACACTTCTGCCACAAGGCCCGTTGATCGCCTCCTCCACTCCGCCCATGTCATAGCATCTCTGTCATGCCGCCAATTCTCTCCCATACAGTGTACAATCGGATCTTCCCAAGACGCCCGACGGCCACCGCCGCGTTGTAGAAGTCCTTCCAGACGACGCCGCTTGGCCGGAAAATCTTTGCAAGTCTCCCATTCGTTCCTAGAATTGTATTCCCTCGCCAAGCTGAGTAGAGATGTGCCGTTCTCCATGCAAGACTTTCGCTCGCGATAGGCCCCATGAAAATACGATCTGAGTGCGGCTACGTGTGCAGGGGCATATCTGGAACGTGTCATCCATTGTTTGATTCTCAAGGCTGTGCGCTGTAAATACTCCGCGTGTGTCTCCCCGGGTTTGCGGCGCATGCGAAGCGTCCGCCGTAGCCACTTGAGCTCCCATGTCGAAACTCTGTGAAGTAGATCCCGCGTCAGGTGCCAATTCTGTACTCCGTGCAGGGCAGACGCTCTCGGCCCCCTGCCCCAGGCACTCAACTTGTCAACCACCATCCCAGGAGCGCAGAGTGCCCGTGAGTTGGCCCAGAAGTTGCCCTCGGCCTTGGATAATCTGAAATCGATGCTGCTCGCCGTGCTGCCGCGGTTATCCAATAACTCCCCTAAGACCAGCATGCGTTGTACAGGTGCGAACTCCACAATCGAATCACCCACAGCACAGCGAATGCCGGCGGCGTCCTCCATGGTTGCGCCACCGCCAGCCATGGTCTGGAGCGACTGCTCTTTCCACGTGAAGCCTCCGGCGCGGATGGCGCCAGTGGCTTTCTGTCACCATTTGTTGTTGCCATCATCATCATCATCATCATCATCATCATCATCATCATCATCATCATCATCATCATCATCATCATCATCATCATCATCATTTCTCTTCCTCTCCCCAATGTTCCCCCAAAGGGTTCCGCAACTGCTGGGGGGAACACGTACTCCAATAGCTTGGCCCAAGCTTGGCCGCATGAGCATTTTCGAAAGGCAGGGGGCGGCGGTGATCCGCCGTAGGCGTCTTCGATATCCGCTCTACTCTTTTGAAGCGCAACTTAATCCCTAATGTTTGGCACAATTTAGAGTGGATTTCGGACACGAGTGCAAATTAAGGAAATCAAGCAAAGCACGGCGGATCCTCAGTCAGGGATCTGAAAGCCGGCGGATCCAGGTAGGATGCGATGGTTCGACGCCTACGAAGAGCCGAGAACCGAGATGACCACATGGCCGGCACCAAATGGGTAGAACTCGCTGACGCTCCTGACTACCTACCAGACCACCACAACCCAACCCGAAGACCCAAATTTCGGGTTGGGAGGGATACGGGCTCCATACGTTTTGTTATATCTTTCCCGACCTCCCCCACCACTGGGAATGGATGGCAAATCGGGGCCTTCGGGCTGGGTTGGGGTGCTCTGGCGGCCGGTGAGCTCCTGCTTGAGAGAAGCAGCAAGCCTTCACCTCAGGAGCCCAGCGGATCCTGGGAGCAAGACCTGGACGCCCCCCCGCAAGGGCCGAAAACGCGGCGGCTCTGCGGGCTCGGCGGGCGCCTGGCTTCTTCGAACTTGGCGGTGCACTGGTCGCCGAAGCAGCTGTCGGCGGGCGCGGGCTGCCGCCAGCCCCACCGCGGCGCGGCCAGGTAACTCTTCGCCTCGGGGCGGGCCGCGGGCATCTGCCGCGACGGCACGACGGGGCAGCGACGGCATCCGCAGGCGGCCCAGGACGGGCGCAGCGGCGCAGCAACGGAAGGGTACACCGCAGACCGACCGAAGCGAACCAATCGAACGCGGCCGACGGCGACGCGGCAAAGCCGACCGAATCGCGGAGAAGCCTTCGAGTACCAAGGCCTCCAGCGCTCTGAAGCGGCCAGCGCCGGACTTGCTCGCCGCTTCGGGGCCTCGGGGGGGCCACTTTCGGGGCCCGGGGCCACCAGAAAGTCATCCAGGGATGATCAGAGCTCGTCACCAGGAGAGTTCGGTGGCAATTCATGGGAGCCTCCCATACCGTCTTGTGCGCATCGACGCCAGCCGACGCTAACCGACGCTCATCGACGCGAATCGACGCTAACCGACGCAAATCGACGCTAAATTGAGGCAAATCGACGCGAAGCCCGCCCCTGAAGGCGGAATTGCGAGGAATTATAAGACTCCCATGAGTTGCTACCGAAAGGAAGGTGTCTGGTGGTCAAAGCGGCCCGTGTTGCGCAGGCGCCGGAGTCGGGAACCGAGGACCGAGGTCCGGGGGTGTAGTGTGTGATCGTGGTCTGAGCGGCCCTTTCCGGGCAAGAGGCGTGCGCGGACGAGGGGGCGGGGCAGGGATCGCATTGAGATAAGCGAAGGGGGTCATGAGACCCAAAGAGATATCATGCCCCGGCCATGGCTTAGTCCCCCCCGGTCATCACCCCCCTGTTGGCTGTGCGCGATGGATGTTCGCCAACGTTTTTGCAACCCTTTCGGGCAAGGTTGTTCGGAGACGGGGCCCTCCGGCGCCCTCTCCTCCTGAGACGGAGACGGGGAAGAAGAATAATGATAATGAGTCGGAGAATAATAATAATAAGAAGAATAATAATAATAAGAAGAAGAAGAAGAAAGAACGCAACAAGCCTGGCCATAATGTCCGACCAATGTAGAAAGGAGAGGAGCGGAGCGGAGCGGACCGCCTGTGGGAGAGCGGAGCTCGAGCCACCCCTCAAGAAACCATTAAAACAGACATGTGCATGCTCAGCGAATGTCTCTTCGAGCTAGGGGGCTGGAACCCCTAGTCTGGAGAGAATGAGAAGCGTTTGGGCATTTGTCTGCTCATGTATGTGCTCAATCCGGCGTGTGTAAGACGCTTTTCTGTTTGAGTATTCGTCGTCGGCGTCGTCGTCGTCGGCGTCGTCGTTGTCCCGCCCCCCCCTTTCCCTGGGACCTCCTCCTCAAGCGATCCAGCCAAACGGAAATCAGTGATCCCTTCCCTGCCGGGAGGGGGGGGGGGTCCCGAGGGGGAATCGTGTGGGAGGGTCCGGGAGGAGGGGTCAAGACCCCTCCCCCCCTGGGCGGTCCTCCTTTAGAAAAGGAGTTCCGGGGGGAATTGCCTCCCTGTCGGCAGGGGGGCTCAGGAACTGGGCCCCCGCCTCAGCCCTGGCCCCGGCCCTGGCCCCAGCCCGGCTGGCCATGGCCCTGGCCTTGACCCCGCCCCATGGGCCCAACCCACGGTGGCCCACGGCCCTGGCCCCCAGCCCCGGCCCTGGTTCCGGCCCTGGCCCCGGCTCCGGCCCTGGCTCCCGGCCCCGGCCCCAGCCCCAACAGAAACCCCCAAGAGGCTCCCCAGAGACCAGCGCGTCAGCGTCGTCGTCGTTGTCGGCGCCACCGCCGCCATCGTCGTCACCGTGCCCGTTCAAGGTCGGCGGCACCAGCCGCAAGGCATCCCCAATCTATTTATATTGTCTGGGCCTCGAGAAAGCTTCTCGTCGCTACGGCTGGATTGCTTTCGGAATTCTTACTAATGTCGCAGCCCCAGGACAGGTCCAGGGAGGGAAGGAGGCTGTGCCTTGTGGAGGGAGGATGGAGGAAAAGGGATTCTGAAACTCTTCCAGCTCAGGGCCGCAAAAATAGGAGCTCTGACGAGCCAGGCTACTAGCACCCTCGAGTCATCTGCAACTGCAAGTCGAAATGTTCTCAGTTATTCTTTCCCTAAGGGCCCCAAGTCTGCCCAACGAGGGCCTAAAAACGGCCGATGCTCTCAAGAGAGCCCAAAGACGGCCCAAGACTGTCCAACATGCTCCCACGACGACCCAAGCGGCCAGGGCCCCACGAGGACCCTCAAGAGGCGGGCTCACGAACTCGGCGCAGCTTGCCGAGCTCTCGAACTTCGACTTCGTTGGGCCCAAGAGCCTGGGGGCAATCTGACAGGCAGAGGTTGCTCGAGCCTCCGCAAAGGGGGGCCCCCGACGCCCCGGGTCTTCCTCGCAGGGCCTCCCGCCATGCCTCAAAGACCCTCGGGCCGAACAGCTCAACCGCCAGGCCTCCAGGGGATCTCGCTGGGCCCAACGTGCGAAGGAGATTCGGGTGCTTCCGCCTTGCACAACTGGACGACTGTTTCGTGCCTGCTCCACTCCGGGCGCGAACCGAACCTTCGCAGAAATCATGGGGCCCCCTAGCCCCCGCAGAGACCGCAGCAGAGCCTGCGCAGGTCGAGCAACAGAGGAGCGGAGGAAGAGCCTTGCCCACCTCGGGAGATTCACACATGCCGTGACCTCGTCCTGGAGTGCAAAGCCCCACGCCAGGCTACTCGCCAGCGTGGCACCGCGGGGCGCCGCCCCTCTTATTCGGACACCGGGACGGGCCGACAAAAAAAAACGCGGGCCAGGCAAGGGGCCGAAACGGGCAAGAGAGCGAGGAGCCGAGGAGCGAGGGGGGGAGGGGGGAGAGGACCTCCCGCTTTTCACGGCCTGGTCCCCTCCCCGGCGCCCCCGAGAAAACTCCCCCTCGAGGCGACAGCTGCAGGGTCAGGCTCCAGGCTGGGTGGCACCGGCGGGGGGGCCCGGGGCCGCGGCGCCGGCGTCGCGGGCACGGGGCCTCTCCATCTGTGCTGAGTGGTCCGAAGGCAGATCCACGGAAACCAACGAGGAGCCCCTGAACTCCTACATTCTCAAAGAAGGAACCGAACTCTATACACCGACGCATTTTCCGGCCCTGCACTGAAACTCGTACAGGAAAGCGGATACTGGTGTATACGGGATGCTGGTGTATACATTTTCGTACTTTCCCCAGGAGAACGGGGGAACAACTATACACCACACCACCCCGACGTCGTCCCTGACCGTCAAAAAGTCCAGGGATTGAATAACAACGCGCCACTGGTAATGTATATGTTCCAGCTTCCGATCAGAAACACCTTGCTCGCTGTAGTTAGTGCACCTCCGCTCTCGTGATAAACCGGAGGAGCTGACGAGACAAAGCCAAATAACCTATGGCAAGCAGGACTTCCTCGGGGTCTTGCTGCACTGGACCAGCTCCTAGCTTGGCGAGTCCGTCGGTTTCGTGATTCCCTGTGCGCTCGAATTCAAACGGCCGGCCTTCTCTGACATATTTCGCGGGCGCGTGTGCAGGGGCCCTCTGGGAACCGGCCCCGATCGAGATAATTTCGATTCCCGCGCGAGCCCCTGGGGCTCGAGGAGGAGAGGGCCCTGTAATCACGTTGACAGCATTCGAACGCGCCTTTGCAGTCCTTGAACAGGTTGGAAATTCCTGCGCACAGCTTCGAAATAATAAGAAACAACCTGGTCCTCGCCGCCTCGCGCCACCTGACCAGGCAAGGTAGCCGGAGGCACGGCACCGCACCATTCGGCAGTGCATCTGCGATCCTGGCCAAAGACGGCGATGCCCCATCCAGCCACGCGAAGCGAGGGGAACATTCCATCTAAGCCCGAGCCGCCGCAGAACACAAAACATCACAAAACCGCTTGACAGCATGAAGGGCCCCGCCTGACCTCCGAACAGCTTCAAGGCCGAAACAAGGTCCTGAGCAAACGCCCAAGGTTTCGGCCTCTGGGCCACCGCTTGGGCCGTGGCAAACAACGCCGCCAAAATTCGACCAGGCGACCAAACAACCTGCCGTCCTGAGGCGTATGAGCATAGGTCTGGATCTCTTCGGCTGAGACGCGCGCTAAGGGATCCCCCAGCCAGCCTTCACGCGTGCACATGGGCGCCAATCCAAGCGAGCACCCTCCGGGCAATCTACCTTCCGCTCGGATAGCAGCGACCCTGAGACTCTCGAGTTCGCCGCCAGGGAGGCCCTGGGCGCTGGCGCCCCAGAGGGCCCCGGCCGCAATTCCAACACGAAGAACAGCCCCCGCATCCGCATGGGGCCCCAGCCTCACGGATGCCAAGGAGCCTGGCCACTTTGGTCTTAACTTCCAAAAACGGGCGTAATGGGCCGAAGCTTTATGTTGCCCCCATCCTACTTACGGTCCACATCCCAGAAATAATTCCGAGCACCTGGAAAATGTCGAAAGAGTGTCGAAAGAGTGTCGAAGCAGTGTCGGGCGAGTGTCTCCCACGGCCCGACACGTGAAAGCCCTCGAGTTCCGGTGCTTTGGTTCCAGGTGCTCGAAATTATTTCTGGTGGTCCAGGCTAAATGTAGGTTGGGACATCCTGAGCCAGGAAGCCTGGTCACTTTGGCCTGGACTTCCAAAAACAGGCGCGATGGGCTGGAGCTTTCCATCTGGCTCTATCGGTCGCGCCCCCATCCAGGATCGCGGTGGGCCGCCGCCCGGGCCGCCGGGGGAAGGCTGCAGACGTCCGCCGGTGGCTTGGCCAACGGGGGGGCGGGCGCGAGAGCGCGCCAGGCTGTCTTGCCGGCAACTGGGAGACCCCTGGCCTGGAGATCGTGAGAGACCTGGTTAAAAGCAGACGACAGCCCCTTGCGCACTGCGGCCTGGCCCCCATGCCGCCTGCAAAGAAGCATCATCCATGGCGCTCTTCAGCGCCGCCGCGCGACAGGTTGAGACCACCCTTCTCAGCGCAGAGACCAGCAGCAGTCTAGCGAGCGAGGCGGTACCTGGGCAGCCTGCAATGACCGCGCCACTCGTCGGGGCCATCCTGGAAGTTGCCCCCTGCCAGGACACCCTTCGAGGGGGCCTGCAGGTCATGCCAACAGCCTTTGAGAAGGGCTTGAGGAACGCAACCTGAGCAGCCGCCGCAAGGAGTTCGGCGCGGCCGATGTGCTCATATAATTTCAGCCAGTCGGGGAACAACGTGCCCGAAACCAGACCTGAAGTTTCTCGAGCGAGCGAGGCCATCGCGCTGTGCGCCCGAGCGCTTTAATCGCAAGCTGCGGAAGAGCTCACCCCCCCAGGAAGCGGAAGCATCCACTTCTCTCTCCCGCTCGGAACAAATCGAAGGCCTGATTCCACATCAAACCCTGGCCAACAATGGCAGCATACCTATCGGCCTCACCCACCCCCCCGTCGGTTTAGACAGAAAACGCAACAGTCACCGGCCACAGAGGCCCCGCGGCAGAGCCCCTGTTCCCACGAGGCAGCGACGCCCGCGAGGGCGCGCTCCAGCAGAGGGGAGAGCTGCTTAAGGAGCTGAAGGCGACAAGAATCTCCCCTGACCCCGTATCAGGGAAATCGGGGGCACCTCTCCAGCGCGGCTACCTTCGCGCCTAGCCTGCAACCACTACTGCAACGTTTCCAGGAGAACAGCATCACCTACTATGGGAATCGAACCGCCCTCTTCGTTCATATCAAACATGACTGGCGGGGCAGGCACCGAGTGGGCCCTGGAGAACCCGCGAGCAACGCGCCCTCCTGGGGGCGCGGGCGCCTGGGCCCAAGGCCCCCATGTCTCGCGCCCCTTTGGCGGTCTCCTGAGCAACCCTCAGGGGGACTTCTGCCTGCAGCCAGTTCGCAAAATGTGAGGCGCGGCTGCCCTCGAGCCCCCCTTTGAAAATAATTGCCGCCGACGGCGAGCGCAGCTCCTCAAACTGCGCACGTGTGAGCACGCGGTCGTGCACTCGAGGTTTGGCTGAAGGGGCGCCCCTCTTGCTGGGCCGCCTGCTGCTAAGCGCGCCTGGCCGCCTTTATCCGCGTCAGAAATTCTGCGCAGTAGCTGGGCGCATCTGGTTGAGGTCCTGCCCACCCCTTAAAAAGTCACGCGCCCGCCCCGCGCCGCTTGCGAGGGGGGCTCCTGCGCCTGGCATCCCACCGAGCGCCCGGCGTCGCGCTCGGCATCCTCGATCGAATGCAGATTCGCAAGGCTCCGCCCCTGCCGCATCGAACCACTGCATCGCGGCCTTCATGGGTGCCCAAGTCGAGCCCCGTCTCCCCCGCGCAGCCCAGCGCGGCGAAAACATGCGAAAACAAGATTATCCTCGTCAGTTCTGGGCAAGGGGGAACGCCTTGGCACGATCCTCTCCCGCGCCTTCGCGTCATAAGATGGCCCCTTGAAGCGCGGGCGGGCAGCTGCGCGGGGACTCCAGGCGCGTCTGGCCACGCCTAGCGAGAGTCCACATAGGAATCCAGGCAGCGACTGACCGCAAAGAAATCGTCGAAATTGTCCTGGCACGTCGGACCATCAGGACGGACTTTACCAACCGAGATGTGACCACCTGGAATCTCGCTGGGTCTCTGCGTCTATGTACCAGTCTCCAGCAATCAACATAAGTAACGGAAAAATAAGAAACCAACTCAATCAGTCTCGACAAGAAGTTGAAATCCTACCCCGATAGACCTCCTATCTGAGCGCGGCCGTAAATGGAGACGAGAAGCACCTGGGCCTGATCTGAGAGAACCGGCCGCCTCGCACACACGCGCGCCCCAGCATGAACGCGGCCGCAGTCTGTAGCACTGAGCCGATCCGAGGCAAGAACAGCCACCCCTCCCAAAGACGAATCGCCCGCTTGGCCCCTTGAAGCTGCCGCCGAAAAGGACGATGCATACCCGGCGCGAGAGGCCCGCGATCTGGGCTCTTCCGCCAGCAGCTTCGCTTGGCGCGTTCTGTGAACAAACATCGCGCCAAAGATCGTGGCGCGGCGCCCCTCCTTGGCCCATTAAAGAAATTCCCCCCCGTGGACCAAGCGTTGCTCGGGGATCTTCTGACCTGGGTCAATCCAGACCCGGGACAATCAGGCCTTGTAAAATCCTGCAAGATCCTGCGCCCAAGCCCGGGTCAACGCGAAGGATCCTGCAAGATCCTGCAAGATCCTGCACACGAGCCCGGGCCAATGCGACCCTGGCCCTGCAGGATCCTGCAAGATCGGGCGCTCTGGCTGACCCTCGTTTGCATTGACCCCCGTCTCAAGGCTCCCGAGTTACTAGTGTGCGCTACCAGCCGGACCTCTCCTTGGGCTCCCGATCCGCGTCTTGACAGCCGTGGCCCTGGGGCCCCGTTCGACGCCAGGGTCCGGAGGGGGCAGAGGTCGCTCTGCCCCCCCCGCCGTCTCTTTGCTCGCTGAATCTGAAAAGATACTGGCAACAGGGCGGTGTAGTCGCGCCCTGGCTGCCGGCGGTGGCGAGACTTTCAGGCCGCCCGATCCAGCCCCCCACGGCCTGACTTAACAGGAGCTCTTGTCAATTGGCGAGGAAAGTGCCATCGCTGCGTTCGCCGCCACAACCGTCCTTTTCCCGCGCCTCGGCATTCGCGCCCAGCTCGGCGAGGGGGCCCACCGCCTCAGGGTCGCACAAGGTGCGCTGCGGAGTTTTCGATTCATCTCGCCGCGAGTAGCATTGCTCGCGTCCTAGTCCTAACGCTGGTATTTCTGAGCTCGCATCGAGCGCCGGCGGGGAAGAGAAAGGCGCCGTCGCCGCCCAGGACGTCGAGGGCGGGTCCAGAGTCGCTTGGGCCCCAGACACCGTGGTAGAGCCCGTAGCCGCCGGACCATCACAATGACCTGCTTCCTGCGGAGCGCAGCGCCGACCTCCCAGCGATCCCCCTGAGCCCGAGTCACCAAAAGGGGCACCGCACCGAGGCTCCAGCTCAGCACGGGTCCAGGCATGGCGCTGCGAGTGCCCGGGAGCCTCCACTTTCTCAGGATCGGAAAACGCGGCTCCCGTCGTCGCGGCGGTCAAAATTCCTGTCGTCGTTGTCCTCCCTTCCCCCGCGGGGGTGAATACAGGGCCGCCACCCCCTTCCCCGCAGCTCGGGCTGGGGGTAAGTACAGTGGCTCCTCCACGCCTCAGACTGGACCTTGCAGCTTCGGCCGCTCCCCAGGCACGCGCCTCCACTGGAGGCCCCCCTGGACACGCAGCGCTGCTACCCTCCACGCTTGGAGGGCTGAAGGTCGTCCTCGGGTTCCCCAATGTCTCGGCGGGCTGCTGCGAGGAGGCGATCGACCTCGTCCCTCTCAGACTGACTCTCGATGCGTGCGTCGTCCAGACCAGGCACAGGCTCAGCAGCAGCCGCATCCAACTTCCCTTGCATAGGGACGTCGGCGGCCGAGGGAGCCAGCCCTTGGCCTGCGGTCGGCGGTGATCCACCCGCGGCCTCGGGGGCGGCTGCAGGCGCCGCGGCGCTCAAAGCCCCTCCCTCAGGCGCGAGGGCGGCGTCCTCGGTGCGGCGCCGCTTGGATTGCAAGCGTGAGACGAGCTGCTGGTGTTCCTTGCGGAAGAAGAAAGGTTGCCAGCCGACTCGCCGAACATCTGGACTTTGGTGCGCAGCTCGTCCGCGAACTGCTTCTGGAGGGCCTGCATCTTGTCGAGATCTGCCTGCTCCACATCCGCGCCCGTGGTGTTAAAGGCCGAGTCCGCCACAAACTCGACCCCATCCGTCAGGCTCGAGCAGCCCGGCGAGGTTGAAAGCGGCCGTGCTGCCGGCCTCATGCTCGGGGCCTGGCGTGGCAGCGGCCTGTCGCTCCCTGGTGATAACTGCAAGAGCGGCCTCCGCCGCCCCCGATGCCGTCAGCTCAGCTGCCGCGGCCTGGAAGGAAGCATCCTGCTGCCCCTCGTGCCAGACCCTGGCATTGCGCTCCGACTCCAGGGCCGCGTCGAGGGCCTTCTCGGCCCGCCTCTCCGCCGCCGCGCGCTGGTGCACAGTGTTGGGGTCTTCGGGCTCTGGCTGCTGCTGCTGCAGGCTAGGCGGCTTCGAGCAGCTCGAGGAGCTCCACAGGACTCGCGGACGCTTGGGCGGCCGTCGACGCTCCACCCCCCGAGGCCGTAGGAGGTGATTGGTCGCTCGGACCATCCTGCGCGCGACGGCGGCGGCGCGACTTGGGCCAGCTAGACAAATCGTGCCATCCATCTCCGTCAGGTGCTGAAGGCTTGGTGGTGCAGTTCCAAGCTTCCCCTGGCGGCGGGGGGCCCATGGGAGACTGGCGAGCTCAAGTGCCCTGCCACGAGCAAAGCAGTTGGCCTTGCCGTGCCACGTCCATGTGCATTGACAAGAGATACCCTTCGTTTGCTTCTTAGGGCCGTCACACTGCATTTCGGACTGAGGATAGAGCTGCCTGCCGTGGGGCGGACCACACCAAAACTCAGCCTGGGGCGGACCAGGCGAAAGACTGGAAATCTGCCGCAGACTAGCGGTATCCTTGCGATCCCCGAGGGAATCTAACACCTTGAGCCAACATGGCTACGGAGGTAGGAACGAAGGAAGGAAGGAACGAATGAAGAAAGGAGGAGGAGGAGGATAATGAGGCTAAGGACAAGAAGGGGGCGCCTTAAAGGCGCGCCAGCTCGGACAGGGCGCTGAACTGGGGCAGGCCCTGACCTCCTCCTCCTCCTCCTCCTCCTCCTCCTCCTCCTCCTCCTCCTCCGCCTCCGCCTCCGCCTCCGCCTCCTCTTCCCTGCGATGTATGCTGCCGCGCTGGCACGGTGGCGGTGCTTGCCGCGGGCGGATGGATCACCTCCAGGCAACACCGGCCTGGGGCCCACTTGGACGCGAGGACACCCCTAGCGCACGATACCGGACAAGAGCAGCAGGTTTACTTCGAGCACCTTGGGCGCCCACGCGCCGCCGAGCGAGGCTGCCACGAGCCATTTGTGGCTCATCGCAGCGTGCTCGCCGTCTGGAAAATCCTGCCCGCCTTCTTAGGGGGGCGAGGTGACACGAAGGCTGCGCTGTTCCCCCGCTGTACATATCTCATCAGAAAACCGCGACGCAGCACCGATTGGCGCGCGCGATCAGTGGGAGATCGGCCTCAGGCCGCGGCCTTGGCGGCGGACAGTGCGGCCGCGTTGTCGAAGCCGTCCGGCACTACCACCGTGCAGTTCTTCCCCTGAGTGGCGATGATGCGCAACGTCTCGAACCTTGGGAGCCACGAGCACACCAGTACCGCTGCTCCGCGGATCCCTCCCAGGGTGCGTGCTGACCAAGGTTTCTCAGGGAGAACTCTGCCGTGGCGCCGAGGGCCCTCCAGGACGAGAAGCGGCAGTAGCATTTTGCGCTTGATAATGAGCGTGGGGGGGGGGGGGGGCACCCGCGCCGACAGCCCCACATCGACCCCCCCGTCGCGGGCAAACACTCCCGCGCGGCGTCGACACCAGTCGGCCCACGCCACCCGCTGCAGAGACCAGGCCCCCAGCCCACGGGCCGCGGCAGGTTGACGTTGACCCCCCGTCGGGGGGGAGCCCCCACGCCTGTGCCCAAGCAGGGGACTTCTCACGTCGCGCCGCTGGCTCTGTTTCCGGGCAGGCTGTGCGGGAAGAGGAGGTGCCATTAAGTCGGGCCGGTCCCCCTACAGGGGGATTTTGGGCGAATTTTATCTTTCATAAGAAATGGCAATTAATACTAAAAAATCGTCCCCAGACTATGGTTTGACTATTTTTGAATATTCCCCCTGTTAGAGGGACAGGCCCGACTTAAAGGCGCTAAGCAAGCAGACGGCGACGAACGCGCAGGCGGGAGGCCGGGGCCGGCGGGGGCGGCCAGGCAGGCGGGAGGAGGAAGGGCGAAAGCAGCAGGCACGGGGGCAGCAGAGAAGGGAGGGAGGCGAGGACGAGGAGAGGAGCCACTCAGGACGAGGACGAGGAAACGCAGAGTGCCTTTTTCCTCCTCCGGGAGCCACTGCAAGCGGAGGGCGGCGGGCTGTGCGGCCATCTTCTCCGCCGCCTCCGTCAAGATGGACGCGGCGTCGCGCTGCGCGCGGGCGGCGATGATCTTCGCCTGGGCCTCCTGGTCCGCCTCTGCGCGGGCGGCCATGGCGCGCTGCATCCTTAGTGTCTAGTGAGCCCTCAGGTGCCTGTGGGGACCATCTCCCCCACCAGAGTATTGCCTATTGTGGGCAGCCACATGTGAACCCTGCGCCTGCAGGTCAGGCTTCACAGATCCCACCAGCCCTCTGGGCGCAGGTGGTCCAGAGCGTTTACTGTTGTCCAGCCTCCTTCCTTCTCCCTGCTCGGGAGGTTTACCTCCCCCCCCCCACCTCCCTGGGTCTGGACGGGCTCCCCCGCGAGGGGTTAGAGCGTCCAAGATGGCCCAAGATAGCTTCGAGGGGGCTTTAGCTAGCCCGAGATGGCCTGCAAGATCGATCGCCCAAGATACCTCAAGACGGCTCAGGATAGCCTCCAACACGCATCCAAGAGGCCGCAAGAGGGCCCAAAGACGTTTCCCAGTGCCCTCCGAGCCCTCCAAAGACCCCCCCCAGGAGGCCAAAGCGGGTTCAAAACTTGGAAAATCAATGTTTTTTTGTCTTTTCGCTTTTTCGTTTCCGATGGGCTCTTGAGGCGCTTGAGGCGTCAAGATGGCCCCAAGATGGCCCAACATAGCCCCAAGAGAGGCCCAAGAGGGCCCCAAGAGCGCCCAAGAGCGGTCCGAGAGTGGTCCAAGAGGGCCCCAAGACGCCCCTTTTGGGCCTCCGAGGGGGGGGGGCCCACCTCTTTTTGAACGAAGGGGTCCAAGACGGCCCCAAGAGGCCTCCCAGACCCCCCAAAAGAGCCCCAAGAGGGCCCAAAGACTCCCCAAGAGCCCCAAGATAGCCTCAAGAGAACCCCAAGAGACCTCATGAGACTTCCAAGAGAGCCCCAAGAGAGCCCCACGGGGAACCCGAGAGAGCCCATAAGATGGCCCCAAGAGTTCCCCAAGAACCTCTCGCAAGAACCTCTCGGGCCCCCATAGAATAGAAAATCCGACTCGACGACGGATTAAAATGTGAGGGGGTCGGGCCTCAGTTCATCCTCCTCGCGCCGCGTTCCTCCTGCTCCTCCTGCTCCCTCCCTTCCTCCGTTCCTGTTCTTCCTCCTCCTCCTCCTCCTCCTCCGGAGCCATCTTGGAGCAAGTGGTGCTGCTGGTGCTGGTGATGCCTGGGGCCATCTTGGGGGTAACAGGAGGAGTAGGAGGAGTAGTAGGAGGAGGAGGCAACAGAGCAGCACAAGCAGCAACACCAGCAGCCGCACGCAAGCTTAAGATAAGCTGCAGTGCGGGGCAGAGATCAAGGAATGCATATGGGGATGCGACTCTCAACTGTGCGACAAGGGCGACGAATGATAGATACAGCCACCTGCACCAGAGACGCTTACCACAGGGAACACCCCGGCGTATCTTGCACTGGCTTCAGTCTTAAACTTCGCTGCGGGAAGCTATGTGTGATCCTTGTTTCTCATTGCCCAGGGTGGATATAGCCACCTGCGCTAGAAACGTTTACCACGGGGAGCACCGCGTCGTATCTTGCACTGATTCCCATCTTAAACTTCAATACGGGGAGCTATGTGTGACCCTTGTTTTTCTGCAGACGGCCGCGCAACTGCATGCTTCCGGCCGTCCCTGATTTACCAACTCCCCTGCTGATCGTTTCTGGATGGGCTGGTGGGGATACTTTTTGTTCGGCGGCTCCAAGGACAGATCCAGGAAGCGGGATTGACGTCTGGGGCACAGAGCGAGATAATTGGCTGCAGTGGCACGTAGGCCGCTGAAGCGAGTGCACATGCCAGGGACAAAGTGACCCTCATTGGGGACCGACGCAGGCAGCCCAGCGGAAGGGGACGCAAGCGTGGTACCGGCGGCGGCCAAATAGGAGCAGTCGCCCATACGGCGCCAAGCTCCAGCCGAACCACACAGCACGAAAAGGCGCGGAGCGACAGATCGCACTGTAGCGGCACAGCTGGTGGGGATACGCGAAGCGTCAAGCACTACCTTGGTCTGTACCAGGTCCCACGCCCAGCGATTCGCCAGCGAAGTCTGCCTCGAAGCCCCGATCACGACGGCCATCTCGCCGCTCACAGATCGCTGACGCGTTCCGGCTCGGACGATCGCGTGATCGAGCCGAGCCGATCACGCGAGCGGCGATCCCGCGGTCCCCCGATCACTTCGATCTGCGATCGCCGATCGCGCGATCAGCAGACGCCGAGGCTGCATCGTGTCGCTGATCTCGAGGCTCTTGAGCTCGACTCTCTCCACCTTGACGCCCCACGGGTCGGAGGCCTCGTCGATCAGCTGCGTGATCCGCGCGTTGATGCGCGTCCGCTCGGAGAACGTCTCGGCCAAGGTGTTCTCCCCCGCCACTGTGCGCATGGTGACCATTGCCAGGTTGCCGAGGGCGTATTGGTAGTTCTCAACTGCGAACATCGCCTTCTCGGCGTCGAATACTTTGAAGATGCACACGGCGTCTATCTTCATCTCTAAATTGTCCTTGGTCATCACACGCTGAAAAGGTACATCGAGGCAAACGCTCTTCATGTTCACCAGGCCGACGGTTTCCGACATTATGTTGTAGCGGTGGCGACCTGGAGGCAACGAGTGCGAGTACCTCCCGAACATGGAGACGAGCCCAACAAAGCCTTGCGGGATGGTCACGAGGTTGCCTGAGACGCCGAACGCTGCGCAACAACAGCAGCACACATCGTAGACCTTGCTTCATTGTCACTTTCAACTGCCCCAGCGGCCAGACGGCACAATCATGGCCAAACATACAACAAAACGTTACAGAGCAGGCCGCATACCACAATCCAGACGACCAGACACATAGTTACGAAATCGTGATTGCTCGTTCGGCTTCGCTGCGTCGATTGTTCTTGCTCCCTGAGGGGTTTCTGTTTGGGCTGCTTCTGAGCAACTCCCCTGCCCTCAGCTGGCCATCGCTCGGACGTCCATTCCCTGTGCTTTTCCGGCTCCGTGCGTGGCTTTTTCGCCAAATGATCAAGGATGCTCCTTGATGGTCCTCGCCGAAGGAAAAATGCACACGCCCGAGCGATGCCAAGTCAGAGCACGGGGACGACGCTCCACCGCAGACGCTGCCCAAAGACTGGCAGCGGCCGCTGCCGGGCCGGCGACGCGCGCCCCACATATCCACGTGGACAGACCGGCCCGCAGCGACCACGAACCCAAGCCAAAGAGAACAAGAACACAAGAAGAGCCAAATCCTTACAGTCGGGACGTTGACCTAAGGAAACCTAAATAAGGAACGAGGCTCCTTTTTCCCATCAGTTAAAGTTTGATTTCCCGTCGAAAACACAAGGATAACCTCAGGCAAACTGTGAAACACTTAAGGAACACGGAGCCCCTCCCCAACGGAAAGGGTTCCTTCTTCAGCGACCCGACTGTAGAGGGCAACACACCCACCCCCATAATAACCACCCCGACAAGCGAGGCCGTTTACCAAGCGCCCCCCCTGAAGAGACCGAGCAGGGCAGGGCTGTTCAGTAAACGCCCAAGGTCGCTTAGTAAACGCTCAATACGGACAACGGCCCGCAGCGTCAACGAACCCAAGTCGTCACACAGCACAAGAGCACAGGGCTGAACCTAAACCTTTACCGCAAAACGAGATCGAAACGAAAACGGCCCACGAAATCGCCAAAACTCCGTTCAGGTCCAGCCCTGCAAGAACACAAGAGGAGCCAAATTCTTATTATTCGCGAGAACGCCCGTGACCGCCCCCCCCCCCCCTCCTTTCCACCCCCCACGGGTCTCGGCATGATTCGCGCCGGCGCCGTCTGGGAGCGCTTCTTGGGCAGGGAGCTACTCTCAGGCATTCCCAGGCGGCGCCAGCGCGAATATGCCAGCTACTTCCTCACACATTATGCCGGAGTCGCGCTCTCGCGTGCCGCGCAGTTAATTCAAACGCCGCGCCCTCGACACTCATGAATCACGCTCTCGCTTTGGCCTTTCGCGCGATTTACTTGGGAATCGCGCTATAGCTCGAGACGTCCTCGCGATTCATGCAGGACTCGCGCTTCAGCAGCCCGCCTGCTTGACTGGCCGCTTGGGCCCGCCTTCTCGAACCCGCCTGCTGGGGTCTGCCCGCATGGTCTGCCCGTCTGGTTCTGCCACGTGTTTTCTGCTCCTGGCCCCCCTCCTGCTAATTTCTCTCGTGTTGCATCCTTCGCCCTGCCCCGTCCGTCCGTCCTCTCTTCCCCTGTTTCAAGGGCTGCGCAAAATACACGTGGCAGGTAAGGAAGATATGCCCCCAAGGGGGTGCGATCGAAGACGGAGAGGGCGTGTACGGATGGTGTGGGATATACGTGTTGAGTGGCGCGCGAGCAGAAAGGAGTGAACAGTCTTAAAAAAGTGATTGTTGTCGTTGTTTTCGTTGTTGTTGTTGATGCTGTTGCTGTTGCTGTTGCTCTCAAAGAACATGAAACATATTCCCTAGGGGGGTTACGATCTGAGACGAAGCGGATGGGTATAGAGGGTATTATATATATAGATATATTGTGTTGCATGGCACGCGGGCAAATAAGAGCGAATCAGATTGAAGTATTGTGGTTGTTATGAACACGTCGGGGAGTTGGGCAGCCGAAGGCGGCTTGTGTTCGCCGTTCCGCGGCCCGCGCCGGCATCTCGCGATGCGTCATCGGTCTTCGACCCACGCATGGCACGGTGCAGAGGTTTTCGGCCCAAGGGGCCGAACAAAATATGTACCACACCGCGCTGGGGATTCTGCTCACGGTGCAGCGCATCGGCCCAGACATCAGCTGATCTGCTTGTTCTGTCCGCGGGCCCCACGTCTGGGAGAGAGTTGCAACTCTCGCCGGAGGTCCGTCTCCCCGCGCCCCTCAGCTTCTATGTTCACGCGGGGCACCGCGCGATTCGATTTCTCCACCGTCGGCCGCGGCTGACTCAAAATGGAGATCAGCGATCCCGGGGGGGGGGAGGGGACGAGAAATAAAAAACGCAATTGCATTACTTTTCCCTCGTCGGCGAAAAACTGTTCTTCGTATCCGCGGCCTCGCGGGCCAGGCCCCTGGGCCACGACCCTGCAGACCCGGGCCATCTTTTCTCGGATGCCCCGCGCGGAACTCATCCGTGCGACCGCGTATCCGTGGGATCGCGCCGCCCGGACTCCAGATCATCATCCTCATCCTCATCCGCCTCCTCCTCCTCCTCCTCCTCCGCCTCCTCCTCCTCCTCATCATCATCATTATCACCTTCACCATCCTCATCCGCACTTCCAGGTGCCTGGCGGTGTCAAACTCCATCAAGCCATGGCCGGCTCGAATGTATCCAATTCAATGTGCAGGTTGTTTGTGCTCATTGTTTCCTCTGGCCGCGGGCACGGCCCCTAACCCCCGCTCCCTTCGCGCATCACAGTACCTGTGTATACCAGACTGCCAGACACGACCACGCCTGTGTGCACCACAATTGCCGCCGCAGCCAGCGTTTGCGCTATGCACACCGAACTGCCTGTGTTTCGCAAGTCTGACTGCGTCGCCGCGCATGCAGATGCCACAAAAGCCTGCGCGCGCCACGCGCCTCTACATGCCGCAAGCACATGCGTGCCCACACTGCAACACACGTTGCGAGCGAACTACGAACAGCACACCCGTGTGCTAAGCAACAGGCGCTGCTGCAACGGGGGATGGGTGGGGCGGCGGGCGTTATGCCATCTACTGGCTTGGTGGGTGAATTGGAGGCCACGTGACGCGCGTTATGTGTTCGGGTGCCGACAATCTGCAGTTCCAGACGGCCCCCTCCCCCTCGGAAGCCGAAACCGCGGAAAGCGCTAGGTTTCGTCAAAACCTGTCTTCTGCGGATGTCTGGGAGTGCCACGGACCTCTTCCCGAGCGCATGGGCCTGTAGTCGGGGGCACGCCAAAATGGATTACGGATCCATGGATCTGGCGCGAGCGCCAAATCCATGGGCCAGGGAAGGTGCACCCCGAAACTTTTTTTCGTCGGCGGCGAGGCGTGACAATCCGCTCCAGCGCTAGCGTGGCAGCGATGCAGGGGCACTGCAAAGCGAATTGGCCGGCATGCAGGAGGAGGGGAAAGGGAGGGCAGGGTACACCCCGAAACATTTGAAGCCAGTGACGCCTCTTTGGCGACGCCGCGCGTCGACGCCGCACGGAAACGGGGCCCGTCACCAGTCCACGCGCACGAATGAAGTGTTTGCGTGTCCTCGGTGCGCCTTCTCCACCCTCTCGCGCCACTCTGGGAACCCCCATGGGGCCTCCTGGGACACGCGCGCGTGGTGTGCTCGTGGAGGCCATGGGCCTCCGTGGAAATCATGGGGACACCTCTGGGGACACGCGCGCCCCGCCCGGATGGGTTCCCTCCCGAGCCCGTTCGGCGTCTGAGCCCGGTTTGGCCGCCGAGTGGGCCCGCTTCCGGCAACGCTGTGCGATGTTGACACGGTCGGCAGCCGAATGGGCTCAGCCCCGTGTCCTCTCGGCGGCCGAGCGAGCCCAGACGCCGAACGGGTCAGAAAGGGGATCCTGTGGATGGCCCCACGGGGACCCCACAATCGAGCGATCCGATGTTTTTCAAACGTGCGGCCCAAAGGGTCCCGGCCCCTTCCCTGGGGCCAATTTCTCGCCCTCCAGCCGTGCTTGACCGCCCCGAGGCCAGAAGTCGGCCCCCCGAAGCAGAGATCAGAGAGAAAACCTGAATCGAACAAATCATATCGTTAGTGCTCTAGAGACATCGACCCCTTCCCCGGGGCCGGCTTTGGGAGGACACCGCGGGCCTTTCCGAGCGCGTGGGTCTGCGTGTTCTCCAGCGTCGCTCCGATCTGTTCTGGCTGCTGCATCTGCGCCTGCCGCGGAGCGGCCAGCGGCGCCATCTCCATCTCTACACCGGCGGCTGGCGCGGAGGACATCTTGGGATAACAACTCTCGTCGGCGGCGTCGTCGTCGTTTTAGTCGTCGTCGTCGTCCTCGTCGTCGTCGTCGTAGTCCTTGTCGTCGTGGTCGTCGTCGTCCTCGTCGACGTCGTCGTCGTCGTCGTCGACGTCGTCGTCGTCGTGGTCATCGTTGTCGTCCTCGTCGTCGTCGTCGTCGTAGTCCTTGTCGTCGTGGTCGTCGTCGTCCTTGTCGACGTCGTCGTCGTCGTCAACGTCGGCGTCGTCGTCGTCGTGGTCATCGTTGTCGTCGTCGTCGTCGTCGTCGTCGTCGTCGTCGTCGTCGTCGTCGTTATCGTCGGCGTCTTGGTCGCCGTCGTCGTCGTCCAGAGGAATCCAAAGGAATCCTGCAGGAACCCAGAGAAATCCTGCAGGAATCCTTCAGAAATCCTCAGGAATCATCAGGCATCCTGACGAGTCCTCAGAAATCCTTAAGGAATCCTGAAGGAATCTTTCAGAAATCCTTTGGAGATCCGCGGAATCCTCAGAAATCCTAAAGAATACCTTGAAATCCGAAGGAATCCTTCAGCAATCCTTGAGGTTCCTCTCAGGAGCCTCAAAGAAACCTCTAGTGAGCCAGTAAGGAGCCTCTGAGGAGCCCTAAGAAGTCTCTGAAGAACCTCCGAAGAACCTCCAAGAAACCCCCATATGGAGCTTCCGGAGCGGTTGAAATGGGTTTCAGTTGGTCGGGGCTGGTATCGAAATGGTTGGCATCCGTCCCAGTTGGTGGTCATTTCTACCATTGTCGGTGCGCCCCCCCCGCCCCCCGCCCCCACGGCCGTCGTCCTTGGCCGATGGCCCAGTTGGTGGTAATCTCTACCATTTTCGGTGCGCCCCCCCGCCCCCCGCCCCCACGGCCGTCGTCCTTGGCCGATGGACCGTGGGGAGTCGTCGGCCTCCGTAGGAGCCCCCGCAGGAGGGAGAGAGAGGCCAGGAGGACCACGGCGAGGACGGAGGGCCCCTGCGCGACGCGGCAGCCGCCTGCCGGGCGCACGCCGCAGGGCGGCGGCACCGGCGCGCGGCCGGCTGCGCGGAAGGCGCGGCAGGCCGGCCGCCCCTGGGAGGAGAGCGGGCGGGTGGGCCACGGCCGCGGGCGGCACCGGCGCAGGCCGACAGCCCAGCGTGCCCCGAGGGCCCGGCGCGAGACTGTGGCGGGCGCGCCGGGCCGGCGGGCGTCGGGCCAGCCTCCCTGGGAGAGCCTCTGTGGACCTGCATCGTCGGCTTGATTTTTACGCCAGGCTTCGTCCAGGTTTTTCCACCGCCCCTCCTTTCGCCCAGATTTCGTCAAGAGTTCGCCCAGACGTCGGCCGAATCCGCTGACATCCGGACGAACTCCCCGAAGCTGCCAGGGACTTCGGGGCCCTCTGAGGCTCACACGAAGAACCACACAATGGTCAGGTCGGGCGTGTCCTCCTGCAGGCGGATTTTGGACGAAAAATGGAAAATACCAGAACATGTTCGAAAATAGGCAAACATATGGGTTAGGCATCTTGCAAGTTTAGTTGCA